GCAGACGAGGTGAACATGTTGCAGTAGAATAGATGGAGAACATTAGTAAAATAAAACTCAGATAATTTAATTGCATTTTTTCTGAGGCTTTTGAAAAGTTTTGCAACAGGGGAAAAATATGTCACTGTTGAATCCTATTTTAATGTAAAGCATTGCCAAAAATGATCATACTGGATGCAAATGTAAGTTTGATAGTGGAGTTTCTGCAAAATATTATGGAATTTATTTGCCGGTGCATGGAAGTAATTTCATCTGAGTTACTGAATTAGGTACTGCTAATTTGAAATATGTACATACCCACCTTGTTACTGCAAAACTAACTTTAAAATGTTTTACTGTGATATTTCTAGCTTTTTCATGCAATAATGAACACATGCTAGTGTACTATTTCTAGAGATTTTCTTTTCTATTTTGATTCGTGAAGTGTTATAAATCACAGCAAGTTATGCTCCAAAAACTTTGTGAACATCTTTAAAATCCAGAATAAAATGTTTTTCTGATAGCATGTCTGAAATATAAAATCTAATASATGAAGTAACAAAGTTTTTTTTAAAAACTTAAAACTTCATTAAATTAGCTTTTGATTGCAAACACCAATTTAGTATTTTCCTTAATCAAGAAGTCTATTGTCTGTACGAACATACAAAAACCTCATGTTTTCATCAGATAAATCAGCAATCTGTATTCATAACTTTAAAGTGCATAGATACTGCATTCTATTTTTAAATCCCAAACGAGTAGATTAATGTTTCATCTTTATAAATAGGCTGATAAGTAACTGGTTAGTTACTTTTCCTAAGATTACAAAAGGTGAAGAATACAAAGTATTCTCCATTGTGCCATTTTTAACAGCCCTCAGGAATAATGTGTCTCTAATCTTCCTGCTTGGAGGGCTTAATGTTTTCTATTTGTTTGCAAACATATCATGAAAGAGTGCAATTATAAAGCTTAACTTCAATGTCATTCTGTATCTTAAATTTTGCTCCATAAAAGTATTGAACTCTCAGTTACCCAATTCAGTGCAGCAAATCAATTTRTTTTCCATTCAAAAAACAAATTCTTGCCTTTTAGCTGGCATTTTTATTGATCATTAGACATTAATATTTAATATTTTAGTAGTGCAGCATAAGTGGTACATATTGTTATGCTTTTGAATAAAAGTTACAAATGTATTTATAAAATGCTTTCACTTACATGAAAGAAAAAGAACCCTAAACATCACAGAACACTTTCAGTTTATCAAGAAAATATTGGTCTTGTAAAAATAACTATTCCTCAGTAGATTCTGCCGCATGTTTTAAACCTTAGAAATGAAACAGGGTTATTTTGTTTTGTCTTACAGGTTTGTTGTTTTTTTGTTGTTGTTGGTTTGTTTTTTTTTTTTTTTTTTTTTTTTTTTTTTTTTTTTTTAGCAAGATTTCATTCATATAAACTAAGATCTTTGTTCTATATGTTCTAAATTCCAGCAAGGAGATAAATAAATTGCTGGATTGGATGGAACATAATTATTGAATTTTGGCAGAACTTCAGTGAACTCTGCCATGAAAGATTAATGTGCACWGTGCGCTCTTAGATTCTAAAGTAACAGAGTGAGATAAGGGGAGTGCAAAACAGACTCCAACCTTTGTGGTTTAGAGAAAATAGAAAACCATGGGCAAATGTTAACTTTTGGTATAAACTGCTAATGATAATGTTTTGTCATCTGGGTGATAAAAACTACAGGAGGAGACAAGAAAATCCAATTTAACACAAATTCTCTCCACTTCTTTCTTGCTCTGCCTCCCATTTTTCAGTATTAGAATAGCCACGGTTGCTCTATATTCTCAGGAAAAGGGGAACAGAGCAGGCAGGGTGCTCGCAGTATCCAGAAATGCACTGTCCTGATGGAATCCCTCCACATCCGCATGTGCCGTACGTGGGTTTTCACTACAGTCACGATTTTGGTTTGTGATTATGGTGCATTGATTTCAGAATGCAAGTAAAATCTTACTGGCTGGATGAAGRCTACATGTAGTCATAGTAGTGGTTGTTGTTATTCCCTCTCTTTTCTCTACCAAACCTTGGTTAAAACGTTAGCTTCAATTGAAAAATTGTAGTTATGATCACAAAATCTTATTCTTCTTGGCTTTTAAATAATAACTGCACCCAAATAATGTTTTTAATTGAGAACAAAGATGCATTGTCCTGCCAGTCAGTCTCCCTTGGCAGGACCAATAGGATTGCAAAGACTTTTTAGTATTTTCAGTCAGTTTCTATAGGGGAGAGCAGGCACGACATCCACCCTGCTCTGGGGAACACGCTGCCGCTTTGCTGACTGCTCCCTGCTTCTGGGAGTAATCCCCCTGCCAGCTCGGCCTCTCCAGCACCCTGTACCTAATCGCACGTGTTTTCCCTTCCTCAGATTCATGCAGTCCCAAACACCAGCCCCAGGCACCAGCCCCAGACACCAGAGCTGGTTCCCAGGAGGGCTCAGGAACAGCAGCAGGATGGGCCTGCTCCAGGATGGCTGCAGGCATCGGGGCTGCCTGGCTGGCTGGGCATGGGGGTATGGCTCAGTGCACCCAAAATGCCTGGAATCACAGGGAGTGAGGCAGGAAGGATGCACCCATGATGGGATTTTTCTTCTGTTTGCCCCTTGCTTGCAGACTGTTAATCTGCTGCTAAGGCCGAGTGTGCTCAGCTCACTGTTCTAAGATGGCAGGTATCCAGAATCTTGGATATATTTCGTGACTTCAAAGACATTTCTTCTCCCATTCCCGGTCACATCCTTAAGCTCATGATGACAGCATTATGAGTAGGATAGTTAAGGAGGTATAAGGGCAAGGGACTGATCCAGTGCCCATTGCAGTCAGCAGAGAGAATCCCCAGCTACGTGTCTTTGGATCCCACACCCTGTGACCTGGCTGCTCTTCCCCCACAGCTCCTGATGGCACTAGCATGACTAGCAYTGCCATTCTACTCAAGCAGATTCCTTGTCTTCGTTGGCTCTCCTCAAAGAGGAAGGTTACTGAGTAAAAGGCTTGAGTGCGCTTTCCTTGTGTTGTAAAGAAGCAGAGTGTGAGTGCTTATTTTGTCCATTTACAGTCTTTTCCCTTGTCCCTCTGGCCTCCTAGAAATGACTCTTGTTCCTGAGCTTGATTTATGAATTCATATCACCATTTCAAGTGGAGTTCAGTATGTGCAGCTACCTGTCTTCTAGTGTATCCCATGAAAATGCTGCATTTGTGTATGCCCATGAAATRAATTTACATTCTAAACCTATTGTTTTGATAACCAGACACAATTTTCTTTCAGTAAGGTTGATTCCAGGGTACATTCATCTTCAAATAAAAAAGGATATTTTTATSTCTTTCAGAGTACTTTAGAGTGCTTCAGCCTTTGTTTGTGTTTAGTTGGAAAACCTTCAACAAGTTACATTCAGAGTATGTCTGTATTTTRAAGCAGACAATGATCCTTTTTGCTTTTAAGTAATTCACAGATATRAGCATTGTTTTTAACAATGTAAAAATGTTACCACGGATAACTAAAGAATAGTAGTAGGAATATTGCGCCTTCTTTGAATGGACAATAAATGTGTTTGCATGTGAAATCAAGTTATGCTTCTAGAGCAGCGGGGTTATGGACTGTTGAAGTACTCARTCTTAGAATATTATAGATATTTTTGCAAAAGTTGCATATATGACCAAGTGAAAGCATTATAATTTTAACCCCTAATAGTTGGGCGAATGTTGAAATTCCTGCCAGGTGTCGTAYGTGAGGCTGTGAGCTGACTGAACACAAAGGTGCATTAAAGCAGAGCCTGCTGCTGGCTCTCAGCTGACCAGAGAGTCCTGCCTGCCGCAGGAGCAGAGCTCCCAGGGGTGCTGAGCTGGGGACACCGGGCTCTGCTGCCTCGGAGCAGCTGTGCAGGGACAGGGACGGGGACAGGGACAGGGACAGGGACAGGGACAGGGAGCGGGGCGAGGGCAGGAGCCAAGCCAAGGCACTTGTGAGAGTGCACAGCATTTGCTGTGCCTGCTAGAGTGGAGCACAGCGGTTCCTTTGGGGTCTGAGCTCTGCCTGGAGAGTCTCACACCCGAGCGTCTTTCAGCTGCGATCCCAGAGMCCCTGGCAGAGTTACACGGGCAGGACACGAGGAGAGGGCTCAGTCCTGGGAGGGATCGGCTGGAGCTCCACGAGTTACAGCAAAATTTAATACCTGGCTTATAGGCAGAAAATAGGAGACAGGGAAATGTGGGCTCTTAGATGAATAACTATGTGGAGACTTTCTTTCAATCATAGCATTGGATTATTAAGGAGAATAAATTACACTGAAGGAATGTTTGGGTGCTTTTCAATTTACCTGCACATTGTGCAGGTCAGCAGAGCAAATTAGCCTAAAACATAGTCTGTAAAATGGCATGCTTTGTGTTTTACAAATTTGCACATCCTGGTGTTCATTTCTGAGGAGTCTGTCCCTGGGTATGCCACATCTCCCAAGGGCCGAGTGTTACAAATGTTTGACCTTTCCCTTCCACTGGGACATACAAAATCTTGCATGTCAACATTACAAACTTCCAAAATATAGAAAGAGTTTTGTGAAGAGGAGGGGTTTTGCAGATGTCTGAAACTTATAATTGTGAGAAATGAAGAGCAGTGTGTAAAAAAGCTGTTAGACTTAGATGGGGTGGCGGGAAGTAGGGGAGGAATGTTTAAGTTTAGAGAACCCAACCTTTTTGTGCAAATCCCAATGTTTGCAACCTATGAAAATATTGATGATGGAATTGAAATTGTATTATGCTGGCAGATCATAGGTGAAATTGCTTTTTGTGGTCTCAGAACATGACTGAAGCAGCAGAGTATTTGACTAAAATACTGCTGTATTAATAGTAGGAAAGAAACAAATATCAGAAAGAAATACGTACAAGGTATCTCATTTTGGGGACATACTTTATTTTGGTAAATTCCAATTCCCAGACTGGTAATAATGATTGCTAATGTATACCTTTTATGACTTTCAGAGCAAGAGAAACCAACTTGAGGAGCATGCACATTGTGATAGCCTCAGCGGTAAGTACCCTAACTGCAATCAAGTTTATTACATTTTTGTAGAGTAGAGGCCTTTTCAAGACCACACTTGATGCAGCTTAGTCACACAACAGCTTCAAATGGCATTCTGGAATAATAGGGCAGTAATGTGATACAGTCTATAATGAAAATCAGTGTAAAGCACAGGTGGTTGCAAGCATTTGTGTGGTCAGATATAAAACCTTCGCTACGGGTACAGGCTACTGCTTTCCCACTTGAGGGAAGTATAATTAAAAGTGGTTTCCAGATGTGCTGGCGCMCATCTGCCGTTTTCAAAGGGGAATTTTGCAAATACAAACTGAACTGTATTGCATTCATTGTTAGAAAGCTGTTGATGGTTTTTCAGGTAATAAAAAGGTTGGAGGCATCAACACCCCCACTGTAAAATTGAGGTGTCTTTAAACAACAGGCAGTGGCATTTTGTGTTCACATTGCCTTCTTAGGATTATCTGTGAGTAGTTCATAGCTGAGCTGTGGCAAATATGTAAAATGTATCTGGGGCAAAATTAATGCTTATTTCATGAAAACATAAGAGGTGATCCTTTGCTAATGATTTAATTTTTTTCCAGGCAGATGTAGCAAATTTGTATAGATTTGTTTGTTTGTTTTCAGCGCAGTGAAATAAATTACATTGTAAAACATTAAGAATGAGTTTCTTTAAACAAATTTTCAAGATGTTTAAATAATCAGGAAACAAGAAAAATTTGATATGTTGAAAATAGACCTTTAATTTAGCTTCACACAGAAAGCAGAAAAATGTCTGCTTATGAGATTCCATGATGCATCCTTAGTTGAACTATCTGGAAGGAAATAAATCAGGAAAAAATTAGAAAAGGTGCTAGACTTTAAAATATTGCTGAGAGAAGATTCAGATCTTTTGTTTTTGTTAAATAAACAACCTGTTTGTCCTAATATTCCGCTTATTTTGTTAAAGCTAGTATTTCCTCTGGAAATGTAGTTATTAAAATAAGTTCCCTGTTTCAGAAGTAAGTTTTTGCAACTCCAGACGTTTTAGTTACTGCTGCTGCTTGGAACACTCACAAGGGAAGAATGCTGTGTCTGCCATGTTTTCACTGATTCTTCTTACAGCACTGTACCAGTTACTCAAAACTGTGACTTCGAGTTGGTTTTGGAAAAAATGAAGGATGTTATCTACTAGTCTGAAGGTCTTGGACTATTGGCCAGGCTGCTAAATGATAAGAGAAATTTTTTTTGGATGTCCTGTGTAATATTGCCTGATCTTTGCACATATTTTCCTTACTTACTTCCACAGATGTGACTTGTTGCCTCCCTTTTTGAGTGAGAGTCGAATCCTTATCACCTTATCTTAAGAAAATGACACTGAGTAAATCAAATGGATTTCTGTTTATTTCCTCTTAGCTGGACTCTTCCACATGGAAGTTGCTTTTTCTATTTAAGTCTTTCTTTCTTGACTGAGCAGAATCTAAACCCTCTTTTGAAGTGTGTAAATATCAGAAAAATTTGCAGAAGATTTAGTCAGAAAAACAGATGCTGAGATAAAATATTTTTTAATATAAAACCTAATGTGTAGTTTGTACTTATGTTTTTGGATTAGTTTTTCTGTCTGACACCTTGTACGTTCTTACAAAGACATTGATGGATTCAGTGAGAGATGCAAAAAGCAACCTGGGTAGCAAAATGTTTTGTGTGTTTGATTTTTCTGGAATAACATCATAACTTGCTGTGGTCCTGGTGCTGCTCAGCAAGACTGCTCTGGTTTTAACAATTTCATGCCTCTGAGACAAAGGGTCCAGATCAGCTCATTGCATCTACTCCRTGAATGGGAGCATCTTGAGGATACAATGAAATGGATCATAATCAATAAGAAGGATATTAATAATGTCATAATGAAAATGCTGATTTCATCAATACTGGCTGCTGGTATATCTGACCTTTTTTTAATGTGTATACATTGTGATGGCTATGGCATATTATAAATGTTCTATTGTGGCAGAAAGACTTCAAATTTGTGCTTTCAGTGAGTGTTTTACAAGGATGTATTTACTAACACATACAAATACATTTAATATTAAAACACATTTAAATCACTGTTTGCCCAGGAGGCAGGATTTTAGCACTGAGCCATTATAAGTTTGGGTATTTTTCTGGCAAAATGCCATTTGACATCAGCATTAGAAAGGTCTAAAAGAATTCAGATGTGAAAATGTGTAAAATGAGCACTACCTGGTACTTAAATTGCACTCTGCTGCAATTAAGACTTGTTAATAGTCACTCCACTGAATTGACTGCTCTCACCAGAGATCAGCCCTGGCCAGACCACTGCCTTGCTCACAGTTTTGTACATTACCATTTTGTATAAAGGGTCAGTTTCCATAGGTCAGGTGGGTTAGACAAAAGAAGCAGCTTACTGCAAAAATACATTATTTTAATATTGGGGAGGTTGCATCCTTGGCAACCACAGAATTTGGAGTGCTTTTGTATTATTCTCATTCCTACTACTTGAAAAGTAAAATGCTGCCCTTGAGTGGGGGAGATGTCAAAAAGTGTTTTGGGGCTGTGCATCMAGAGACATGGCAAAGGCACTTTATTGGATGGTGAAGATCTTGCCCTGACTGATGGATGCAGGAGACAAACCACCAAAGATATATCACCCCTCAAGGGCACCAAACCTGTCCAGTGCAGCTCAAACAGATGAGGCTCTGCTCCTCTGGGGTATAAAACACTGCCAGACACACAGCACAATTCTATAAGAGGCCAGTGAGCTGATGACTTCGAGTGCAGAAACTGTTAMACAAATATGATGCCATTGTCAATTTTGCAAGGATTTCCTCTTCTGAACATCTATATCCTGGTTTTGGGGTAAATTCCAGATTCAACAAGTGCAGTGCTCCCTATTTTGCCCAGAAAAAGAATTGAGARTCCCTGCTTGATGCTGCATTTTATSTCTATTAGAACATTTTTTTTTTTGTATTGGGCTTTGAACTGTTGATTTTAAAATTTTCCTGTAAATCAGGAGCACTACCAGCACTTTTTATGTCTCCCAGATACCCATTCTTCACCTTAATGATTTCTGGCTGTGGCTTCAAAATCAGTTGCTTTAAGAATATTGTAGAAGTCATTGGCTAAGGCCTTGAGAAGAAGAAGCCACAGGGAAAAAAAAAAAGAATACTCTTTAATATTAAGACTTCTTTTTAAAACATATATCCCTAACACGAAAATATTCAGGGAGGAGAAAGAAACATTCAAAATATTGCTAAAAATATTCTTCAAATATTTTAATGAAATAACTTTATAGAACTTGAGGACAGATCAAAAGCAATTATCATATGTGTCAAGATTTTCTTGAAGTTTCAGAACTTTCTGCTCTCTGAAGTAGAAACAAATAAACTATCATTTATCTTATAAATAAAGGTCAAGGGGAAGKGGAATCAGATCAAGCTATATATTTGCTATTAGCATATATTGAAATATTTCATTTTGGCTTGTTTTTCTACATCTATATTAGTCTTTCAGAGGAAGAAAACCAAAATGATTATTTTTAACTTTAAACCTGAACTTTTTTATCTTGAAAATATCTAAATAGGATATTTGAGCAATTTCAAAACACTTGCTGTCTTTTTAAAAGACAAGCAAATTGACATATTTCCTTGCAAATAACTTTATTTTTAAAGAAAAAGTCTTTTTTTTAAGGCAAAAYTGACTAAAATATTTCCTGCTTACTCTATCATGTGGCAAACATACATTTTGCATTTCTTCAATTATTGTGCTTGTGATTTCATACACAATGTGAAGCATTGACTAATTATTGTTTTGAGCTGTGAGTTTTCATGTTCATTCGTAGAGAGAATGAGGTATATGAAAGCAGAAATATATGGAAAATCAAATTTCAAAGTCTTTGGCTGTGGATAAGCCTTATGGAMTTGTAGAAATAAAACCACTGAAACCACCAGAAATTGTGATTTGCTTGAGGTCAGCACGTATTACACCATTACAAATATATTACATGAGACCTGCACACAGTTATACTGCAAATAATCTTGAATGCAGCCATGCAGTAAYTGCTGCCCTGAGCTTTCATCTCCTTTGGGTTTTCCCCCAGTGCCTGGGAAACCTGTGCAGTGCATGTTTGTAGCCAGAGCAGCATGAGCAGCAGCAAGACAGAATTCTTGGGACTCCAGAGTTTCTCCCAGGAGGCCTCATATCCTACTGTCCAGTGGGGTGACCCTGATCCCTTTCCATCTCCCAGCATCAACCCTCCATTTCACTGGGCTGATATATTGCTGCTTTCTAATACCATTCTGTTGAAATGTTTCAGTGTTGTTTAAGGAAGGCTTAAGGACACAGCTCTCAATAGGGTTGTCATTCCAAATGACTATACCCTTGCCTTTTACAGTTCTTGTAAAGKAATATCTGCTTTCAGCCAGAAATGTGAGCGCTGTGCTTTCTATTCTTGTGCAGTGTCATCAGTTGTGGCAGTAGCACTGAAGACAAATACATCCCCTCCTCTCCTGTCTTGCATAACTTTTTCTATTGTTTGCTGATCAAGTGCTTCAAAGTTGAGGGTGTTTCTGACCATTGCTGGTTCATCTGCTAGAGCTGCAGAGGAGCAAATATGTTCTGAATGTTATTTTCACTTTTCTGTGATGCAGCTAGGAGAGGCTTTTATTTTGGGCTATCCAGTCTCTTGTTAGAGCTGCCTTCCAAGCTCAGATGATTAAAGGGATATTGTATATCTCTGAGAAAAGAGCTTTAGCTGTTCAGGGGCAGCACATGAGTTTCTCTTTCTGTCAGTAGCTCAGTAAAGTGCATGTCTGTGCAGTGTGTGCAGTTGCTGTTGACAGACACTCTGTGTTAGCTGGGACTGTGTGGGTAGTCTGGAGCGTGATATCATATTTTGGGCACTGGAAGCAAGAAGGAGGCAGAGTACAGTGACAGTAATCAGAGATCCTGAAGGTCTGATTTACCAGGAATGTTTGAATCAAGTGGAGTCATTAGCAAAA